GTAGATACATGTGAATGAAAAATAGCTTGCTGCTCAATAGCCCACCTTGCTCAATGCTGCTGCTGTGTACCAGATTTGCAGCGTCCTGGCTTGTTTCTCCTAGTTCTCTGGGCAGATTCACACATGTTCTTCCCGCCTGCTCAGGTAGAGAGAGGGCGGGCAGTCGACCTGATCTCCACAAGCTCAGCGGGTTCACATCTCTCTCTCAGCGACCGCACGTTCCTGTAGCTCTTCCGGTTTCACTTGCGCCAACCTTCATCTTGCAGCAATATCATCATCATCCCCTTAAAGGTTTCTCTTCTTTTTAAAGGGTTGCATAGTCCCCAATTTCACTTTGTCCACCTGATTCGACCGGGATTCGAACTCACGATCTGTTCATCAACCGTTTACTTGTGTGTACCGCTCAGCCACATGGGCTGCGCGCTCACCTAACTTCACCTAACCCGACCTGCGAATGTTGTTTCGCACAAAACCCATACCACAAGCAGCCTTCAAAGACGCACGCCGCCACTCGATAGCCGGCGGAAGAGCAGAGGGTCATCAGGACGGTTACCCGATACTATCCCATCATCGAACGGTCATCAGGACAAATTTTCTCTCTTCGCAATCTTGCAAAGTCTTCTCTGCAGAAGAGCAGAGGGTGAGACGCATCATCGACTTCAACTTTCAAATTACTTTCTTCGAGTTCTACACCCTGATGACCACCGACGGAACTCCCGTTCACACAGTGATGCTATCACCCCCAAAAGGCACTGTACAATGAGACAAAAGTTTGTTGCCACACTATGTCGACTTCGGCGTCGTCGCCATCGCACATCACAACAATTCATTGGCGATCACGACCAGATCATCAAGGAGAGAACCTTCACCTGTAGATTCCCCGCCAAGTCGCTGTCCGAAGATCAGGTAAGGAAAGATGTCGGCCCGATCGCGCGACCAGATCATCAAGGAGAGAACCTTCACCTGTAGATTCCCCGCCAAGTCGCTCTCCGAAGATCAGGTAAGGAAAGATGTCGGCCCGAAGATCACGTAAAGAAAGATGTCGGTCTGAAGATCAGGTTCGGAAAAATGCCAGCCATTGTTTTTTTCAAGAGAGAAAGATCAACGGTGTTGCCGTCCAAAGGTTATTATATACAACCAGCTCCACCAGAATGCAGACACTGCTGCAGTCAGGACGCAGAGACTTGCAGAGTCGACCATCTCTCAATCACAATGTCACAACAATTGCTTACCATCGAGGATCCCAATGAGACCCCAACCCGAGTCTTCCCCACTTCCTCTTGCGCCCACCGTTGGCAGCACAGGGGCGATCTCTAAGCTTGCGGCCTATTTCCGTGACCTAACATATCATCCTGGTACCAGTGCTAGGCGAAATGACGACTTATTCTTTCAGTCAGCACCAGCGTCACTTATTCCATTTCAGAAGTTTTCGCCTCCACCGTCATCCATCACATACTATAGTTACGGCCAAGGGTAATATATAACTTGATATAACACACTTGGTAGTTCTTCAACTTTTTTTTAAAAGCACATCACAGAGCAAAACCATGGCAACCTGCTTTTCCTTTCTGTCCCAGTGCAGAGACTCCCAGAGGGCCAGAGCCATCATCTTCCCCCAAGGGGGAATGATGTAGGACTTGTGCGAACTCATTCTTCAACACATCTCTGCCCAGGGGTTCTCCTGCCATTCCTCATGACACAAGTGCATCAAAGATGACCTTCACAAAACAACCCAGCCGGCCTATGTCAAAATCAGGTCCTCAGCATAACCCACTGCGGGTTACACGAAACCATGATGTCACAAACGCGTGCAACACACTGGCATCATGAACATCACAGATTTGTTGTGCGTACAATTGGAATACCTCCCCATTGCAACATGACAGCACACTTGGTTCCCCGTTGCCACATGGCAGCATACTTGATTCTCTCTCTCTCTCTCTCTCTCTCTCTCTCTCTCTCTCTCTCTCTCTCTC